GTGTGTGTGTGTTAGCAGACAGCTGTACCAGTGTTTCTAAAGCTCAGACTGGTAGAGAATAGGCACTAAGGTTAAAGTTTAACAAGAATTAATACATTTTAATGCATTTAATCTACAGATTTATTTTTATAGTTTCTCAAGACAGCTTGAAGTGAGTTAACTTGTAAATATTTTACAGGAGCAAAAGTATTGAGATATAAGTTTTGGTCTATATCGTCCAGTCCTGCCCACAAGTCATTGCTGCAGGAGAAAAGGCTCAAATTCCTTTTCTGAAAATATGCACTTTCTAATGAAATTAGTTTATTTTAGGACGATTAGTTGATGCTCTAAAACCTATAGGCAAAGCAGCAATACATGTAAATTTATTTCAAATAACTGCTTGACTGACTGTTTATAAAGTTGTTAATAATGTCATGTTCTGTGTTCCTCTGTCCCCAGCCTCCCTCAGGTTCTCTTCTTATGTCCCATGATTATTCCCTCCTGCCTTGTTCTTTCCCCATTTAGTTTACTGAATGCACCTGCCTTCTCTCCAGATCTCACTCACACCTGTCACCTGTTCCCCTGATCACCTTCCTGTGTGTTTAAAAGCCCTGTCTTGTCCCTCACCGTTTGTCGGTCCATCGTTGTTCTTTTCCCTCCCGAGTTTTGCCCGAGTCAGTGCTCAGTTCTGAGCTTCTGTTTTTGTTTTTGGATCGCTCGATCAAGTCTCCTCCTTTTAATAAAGGATTTACTTATTTACATCTGCTCCTGTCTACTGTGTTCTGCGTTTTGGGGTCCTAACCTCCTGCTCAGCTTGACAAATAAAGGTTTTTGAAAAAGGTATCACAGCGACCAGCATCCCGGGCTGCGTTACGATCGATGACGCCATGCTCCCTGTTTCAATTCTGCAATTATTTACACACTTGTGTAACACACTCGAAGCCTTATAGCGCACTTTCTCCAAGTGCACTTTGCTGAAGTTTGCAGGGCGCAGTGTGAGTATTGAGATTGGGCCTAAGTCTCTGGGCGACACCATATTAGATGCCATGTTTCCTTCTTGCAATGATTTAGGTATGTACTGCCCCCTATCGCCAGGGAAAATATACATTGTCACTTTAATTGTTAAAAACTAAAACGGAGAAAACGCTAATCTCAATTTATATAAACTTCTAAATAGCTGTTGTTCTTGCTGATGAGCACGTGTCCAGCTGGATGATTCGCAGAGTGCCTTGTTTGTTTGTTTTTTTAGCAATCTCTTTCAGAGAACTTTAGACACCAAATCAGAATTTTGGTGACATTTCAGGAAATAATTATAATTTTTTTAAATAATTCTTGAGTAAACTAAAAAAAAAATTATGTAATAAAACATTTGTTGTGAATATCTGGTGACTGTGAAATGCAGCGTCTGGGTCAGAGATTAATCTTAGGAATTGCAATCAAAACTTTATTACTTTCAAAATAACCCAAGCAATGATGTCATACAACATGCATGCAGGTGACACGGCAGACTTGGTGAGCAATGTGGACATCTTGGAGTTAATGCCTGGAGGATAGCTCCCTCTCATGTCCATTAATATGCAATCAAAGGAAGAAATTGATTAAGTATCTTTCTCTCAATTACTTTAGCAGTTTTCTTTCATCTCAAATGCATCCTCAGTTTGTGCTGATGTCTCAGTCAGATCAACAAGATTAATGCTGAAAAATTACACATTACAACAGAAGAGGAAACATGCTGAAAAAAGATCTCCAGCACGCATAACCAACATGGAAATGTAGAGCATTTAGCTACAAAGCTTACTTTCAAATACCTTGTTTCTAACTCATGCTCTTTCACACCTTATATGTTTTTACTCTTTATAAAATCAGATTTCAATGAAAAAAGTCTTTCATGTAGTGTCCAAATGGGCATTTTTAGAAATTTCATAAAACAAACATTTTTTAATAATAATTTTTATTTTTTAGCCTGTTGTTTTTCAAAAATCATTGTTGGTCTTTCATGTAAAAAAAGTAGAAAACCATACTCCTTCAAAAGCTGCTAACAAGTACTGAATACAGAATCTTTCTGTAGCTTTCAAATAGACTTGAGTTTATTTTTTCCTGCTATAGAAAGTCTGGTTTGTTCTCTGAGAATGAAAACAGGAAGTTCTGCTTTGTTCTGCAGGATGCAAAGGTACTTTAGTTCATTCGAAGGGGAACACCTTTGTATAAAATCTAAATAATAAAAATAAAAAAGTTTAACTTTCATTTAGCTGCAGAGTCTGTGGCTGTGACTTGTGGATTCCAGAGCACCAAGTCAGAGATGAGTGATGTAGACACAGTCACACCCTTGTGGAGATTTTTTAGCCTGATGACATCGTCCTGAATCTGTCAACTTTCTGGTTTTGGATCTGCTTCTTGCTCTTTTCACTTTGAAGTCATTTTTTCTGCATGACGCATCTTTTACAGGCTTTTTCCTCCTTCTGCACCCCGTTCTACAAATACCTGCAACACAACTTCATACTTTCTAGCTAGTTATAAATGGCGATCAGTATCCTTTCTAAAAGAATGAGGGGGTAACACAATCTCTACATGACCAAATCAAGCTCAGACGAAGACAGAGAACTGGGACATGAGCCAAAGCAAAGCTGACAAGACAAAGAGAAATGGATGAGTTTTGTTATTTTTGGGGCAAATTCTGTAATGCTTGTTTTGCTAAATTCTGACTAAACATCCCAGCAATACCAAAGCCACATTCTTAAACCAGGACTTTTGTAAAAAACCATTTTTAGATGAGTTTTGAAAGTTATGCACAAATAATATCTTATATTTGTATGTGTCGGAGAAACCTCTTCACCATGTCCTCAAGTTCTGCAGAACCCTCTTAATCATCCACCGACCTAAATCTGGTGTGATTGAGCAGAGAAACATCTAAAACATACTGAACTGTGACCCTGGAGGTCCAGAGTTGGACATTACTGATACAGGTGGCAGAACCTTGAAAACCCTATGAATTTAAAGGTTCACTGAGAAACAAATACTTGTTCTTTCTGAAATACGAGTGGTCACTCTGAATTTCACATGAATGCGGAAGTCTTCAGCCTCTATTTCTTGTATTAGCTGCCAAAGGAAAATAAGTGGGGAAACGCTTGGGTCAGAAAAAGCCAGTCGCAATTTTTATCTTGAGAGGAGCTATATAAAAGATTGTTTTCTTTCTTTCTTTTCTATGTAACAGGGAAGTATTTGCGTTCATGGACTTGCTCATCTTGACTGGCGACTGCGGAAGGATGTGTTGGTTTAACAGCCAAGAGAGGACAGTGAGCATCTCAGCTAGTTTAACCTATCCATTAGCTTTAGCATCTTCACGACATAGCAGAACACATTTAGGCGCAAACTAGCTGTCAAAATATAACACCAAGGCTGCAGTGGAGGAGTTGTATTGCTGTTAACCAGTTAGAGGCAAGATGATAAAACCAGTCAGATTTAAAGCTGCAATAGCAAATCTGCAAACAAGCTAGGTTTTTGAACACTAACGGGGTCACAGAACAGTCACCCCTCCCCTCGGGTGTCTGCCCTGAGATGCTTCTGGTGGAACCGAAAACCCACAATACCAGAGGAAACAAGAGAGCGCTAAACACCAGTCGCTGTTTTCTAGGTCCAAACATCTTTTGATGGTCCAGTAGTTGCTTTTGGTTTGAACTGTGTTATTGGTCAACACATTCTCACTCCCAGCGCGTCAAATACAAACGCTTGGTCAGCCACCCTGCGCATCAGACCCCTGACGCCAAAAGTGCCCTTTTTGTCACTTATTTGCGAAAAGGGGTTTTTCCCTTTTCTGACTGCAGATCCCAATGCAGCGTAAAACTGACGCGATGGGATGTCCGCTGATGCGGCAGCGAACCAGCTCATTTGACCGCACCTAAACCTTAACATTTTACTATTTATAACCTTTCCCTCACCCTCTTCCTAACCTTAACCCTCTTGCTACCTAAAGCGTTACTCTCACTGTAATCAAGCATTTGTTTCCCATGCATTCTGACTGTGAATTTTCGTATTTGCCACCCAAGGGGAACGTTAGAACATACCATCTGGCAAGGGGGAGGTTACAAATACCCTTTACTTTTAACCTCCACCTTGGTAGTTGAAATCTCCCCCTCGTGTTGCCTCGGTCCAAACCCGACCAATGACGAGGCGGCTCCCGCCGTTCACTTCATAGAGCCGGCTTTTAGAGCGACCAACACATCACTAACATGTTCGCTAGCAAGATGGATAAGGTTAGGATAGGGGTGAGGGGAAGGTTAAATAACAAGAGGATAAGGTTAGGGTGAGGTGCAATGAGCTGGTTCGGTGCCGCATCAGCGGACATCCCATCGTGTCAGTTTTACGCTGCATTGGGATCTGCAGTCAGAAAAGGGAAAAACCCCTATTCGCACATAAGTGACGAAAAAGGGCACTTTTGGCATCAGGGGTCTGACGCGGAGGGTGGCTGACCAAGCGTTTGTTTTTGACATGCTGGGAGTGAAAATGTGTTGTATTGGTGGACATTTTTAGACCAATGTGTTAAAATCGTCTCAATATATTTATAACTTTACTATTTTAGAATGTCATTAAGAGGCATAAAAAAGTGTTTTAAGCTAAACTGTTTTCCAGCGCATCATTGAACCAGAATTGTCAGGGATCCGTTCCTTGGGCTTCCTGCTGTGTTCCTTGGCCTGTTTTCAGCAGTTTTCTGTCAAACAACCAGCAAATGTAACCAGATTACATTTCATTTACACAACATGATCAATGTCAAGGTGGAGATTGATGCAAACTGAAACATCCAATATCTGTAGCCTACTCACTAATGCTTCTAGCTTATTTTGATCTTATTTTGATTGAGAAGAACTGTGAAAGAGCAAACCAGAGCCGGCCTGGGACAGATCAAAGTTCTCTCAATGAAAAAGGCAGATGTCTTGCATAGATTGTGCTGGAAGGCTGCAGTCCTAGATCCAGATTTGCAGGTCTGACCAGTAAAACTGGAGGGAGGTGTCGGCTGCTACTTCAGACCTCTGAGGTGTGGTGAGACACAAACAAAACAGACAAACAAGTAGAGACGAGGAGTAAAATGACTCAGTCATAAGGTGGTATTCTTGTTGTCTGGACAGACGATCCCCATCAGTGTGAGTACAGCCTTTAACACCACACCTCATGACCAGTTTTGCCAGTGTGGTGAAAAGTATGTAAGACTTGTGAAGGGGTTATTACAGCTTTATTATCAAAGTGTTTTCAATTTTAAACAGACACAAACACTGGGTGAACGCTGCAAAGACAGGTGCGATCAGACAGAAGGAAAGAAAGATGGCCGAGACTCCAAAAATTGAGCTCTTTGTTAAGGTAAGACTGAAAATGATGATTTTCTAACTGAACTGTAAAATAAAAAGCACTTGTGTACCTGTGTACAAGTAATTGTTAGATTTATTTTGAATTATAGCAGCAAACCCTAATGGTGGTCAGAAATGCTGCAATCTTTTTACTAAAATTGATCTAAATCAGTACTTTTTATTCACAAGATTTAGAGCTTTTGTAAGGCAAATGTCAAAATGAACCAATGTTTCTTCTTTGGGTTTAGTTGCCACTTGTTGTTTTTCTCCAATTTTTTGGATTCAGACGAAGGTAACCATTGCAATTAAATTTATCTAACGATGATTCAGTGCAGCTTGAACTGTCCAAATGAAATAAGCATTTAAAGCTGCTTTAAACAAGCAGAGTGGGGAAGGCTTGGTAGGAAAACCTGTGTGGACATCCTATTTGTTCAGACTCTTAACAGACCTGAACCAGCGTTGCTATGTGCTGTACAACATACCTCAGTGCTTTAAGTGTTTATTTCTGCTCATAATTAGTTTGTTCTTAAATTTTCAGGCCAGTGACGATGCTGAAAGCGTTGGGAACTGTCCCTTCTGTCAGAGGCTCTTCATGATTCTTTGGCTGAAAGGGGCCAGCTTTACCCTCACGACTGTCGACATGCGGAGGTGAGAGCCCAACTTCTCAGGAGCTCATCCTTGATCTTGTCTTGGGGTGTCATCGCTTGCTAGATGTTATGTGTGAGAGATTTCTGGTGATGAGCATGAAAAACAGAATGAAGTTTCTCTTTACAGCCTAGAATCGATGTCTGGGAGATAAATGAGTTCCTTTCCAGGAACTTTACAAGCCCTTTCTTCTTTTGTGATTATCTCCAACAGATTTTCTATTATCAGTTTCCTCTTTCCTCAGATGAACTTTCATAAGAATGCATCTTGCTTTATTTTTAAGGTGGGGTTGTGTAGAGCACTTATGTGTAGTCAGTGTCTTACCTGTACTAGACAGCAGTCAAAGAGATGTGATTTTAAAGCCATACTTTGCAACCTTTTCATATTTTAAAATAATTTTCTTGTGCCAGCATGTGATAAAATAACCCTTCACAGCAGGGGCATTCAATCCTGGGCCTGGTGGGCCTGTATCCAGCACGTTTTAGTTTTAACCCTGCTCCTTTTAGTTTTAACCCTGCTCCAACACACCTGATTTCAGTCAGCAGGCAAGTAACAGGCTTCTGCAGAGCCTGATAAGCTGCTGCACAGGTGATTCGACTACTGAATCAAGTGTGTTGGAGCAGAGAAACCACTAAAATGTACTTGATATCGGCCCTCCTGGACCAGAATTGAATACCCCTGGTTTACAGGGATAATAAAAGGCCATCCAGCCTCTATCGTCCCTATGTAGGAAACAAAAAGAGCTTATACCTGGCACTGCAGTCTGGTTCTAACACGTTTCCTGCATGTTTTAGCGGATTTGTTTAATTTAGTGATGAATCACTCCTGTAGACACTGATGAATGCAGGGGAGACATTTCAGCAGTTTAGATTAAGGTGCTAAAAAGATGAACGCACAGCAAGGAGATACCTTTGGCTTTTGGTTCTACTGCACGGACACTAGGAGGTGCTAAAAGCAAGCCAAAACAGCCTAGTTTAAACACTGAATGTGCTACTACTAGTTTATCTGTTGAATTAATTATAGATTCACTAGGATAAATGCAATAAAGTTGATCTCTTACTAAATGGAATATTTACTAAGAAATCACAATGTAACCATAGAATTACTACTTGGTCTACATGTTGTGTAAGTGTGTGTGGGTGGGTGTTGGTGTGTGAGTGTGTGTGTGTGGGTGGGTGGGGGGAGGGGGGTTGGTTTGTGTGTGTGTGTGTGTCTGCTCCGTCTTCTCGATCCTCTGAGTCGTGGCATATGGCTGCTTATACTGAGCCATCCTCTGGAGGTTTCTTCCTGTTAAAAGGGAGTTTTACTCTCCACTGTCGCTAAATGCTTGCTTAGTATGAGGATTGCTGTAAAGTCACTGACACTACTCAGTGACTTGATGCAATTTGCTGGGTTCCTTATATAGGAAACGTTTGTCTGATCGGCTTCATGAACTGACCTCGATTGGAATGTTTACTGTGTGAAGTGCCTTGAGACGACTTGTCCTGATTTGGCGCTATATAAATAAACTTGAATTGAATTGTGTGCCTTTAAAGAATCAGGGGGGATTTCTAATGGTCCAGTTAAGATGACTCAACAATAGACCAATGCAGAAGCATATTTTCATCTAACCCTAAAATTTCTAAACTGTGTGCAAAACTGGTTTTAGATATTTTTTCACTATTTTACATAAAACAATTATCTTAGCAAATGCGCAAAATTACAGCAGATTTGTGCCAAATACAAGCACATTTTACCACTGATTAGTTAAATCTGCATGCAGGTGTTTAATCTCTATAATCCACTCTTTTTAATCTGGTTTATGCAGATGTGATCTGATGTATGGCATCGTCACATTCTCATTTCTGTAAATTTGCTAACCTTTCTCTTCACGGAATAAGTAAAGAATCAGAAAATCAACCAAAAACTGTAAATTTATATTCATAATAAGAACGAACCTGAGTGAGGAGGCCTCTTTTAAATCTGTCCTCAAAGGCTGATGTTATCCTTATGTGGGTTAGATTTAGACTTAGATTGAGATTTTTAAAGTCAGCACACACAAACAAATTTCTTTTAATAGACTTCATGAAGAAATATTCATAAAATATTTGCCTGAAAATGAAAAAGTGTTAATTCCTTTGAGATTTGAAATGTCCTTAGCAGCTGTTTTCAGCCGTTTGTCACCAGATGTTTGTTTTCAACAAATAATCAAATGGAGACGGGAGATGCTGATTTACTCCCAGAAACGTGGTTTTGCCTCATGTTCTGGCTGGTTGTTGGAACACGTTTTCTAGCACCATCTTGATACTGTTGAGGTATTATCCAAACATACCAAAGAATTAGCTCTAGTCTTGGCACTAGAGCTAATTTGTTCCCACACTACCTCCACCTGTTTTATCAGTGATGCAGTATGCTTCAAATGAGATCTCTTCAGGCATTGTTTGTGCTATTTTAGTTCAGTTTATCAGTTTTTTTCATCTTTTGAAGAATGTTATTTGAGATAGCTTTGTAAGCCCTCTTGTTCTAGAGGCTCAGGAATTCCACCTTTTGGTGTTTTTATTATTTTTTCCCCTTTTGTCTCTTATAGAAAATGTCTTTATCATAAACCTGGAGTAGATCCACTTATGGCACCAATGTTTATACAAAAACATCCACTGAAACAGTTTTGTGCCACCAGAGGATGCTGTCCTGTGACTTTTTGATTCAGCCTTCAGAGCAAATATGTTTATTGTTTTGTCCACAGTGATATAGTTTTAAAGTAAAAAAAAATAAATCAATATTTTTTTTAACTTTTTTACTCTATTGATACATTTTCATTGTTTTTTATCTGAAGGGCACCTGAGGTGCTGAAAGAATTGGCTCCTGGATCTCAACCTCCTTTCCTCCTCTACAATGATGAAGTCAAAACAGACACCAACAAGATCGAGGAGTTCCTGGAGGAGACCCTAGCCCCACCAAAGTAAGTAAGGTGCATCTACGTGTTCATTCATGACTCCGAGCGTTCAGTCACATTTTCCATGTGCTTGTTTACCAAACACAGATTCCCCAAATTGTGCTGCAAATACAAGAAATCCAATGAAGCAGGAGAAGACATCTTCAGAAAATTTTCAGCGTATATTAAGAACCCGAATCCCGGGTTGAATGACAGTGAGGCAACGTCCAAAGATTGATGAAACTTCTGCTGTATAAACGTTGATCCCAAAGGCTGTGTGGTATTATTTACACATGTCTGGTGTCTCTAGTGCTCGAGAAGAAATTTCTGACCACTCTGATAAAGCTCAACATGTACCTTGAGACGCCGCTACCTTATGAGCAGCAGAAGGACCCAAACATCACTAAGTCTTCACGCCTCTACCTGGATGGAGATTCCCTCACTCTGGCAGACTGCAACCTGTTGCCCAAACTCAACATTGTGAAGGTGAACAGAGTTCAGAAGTCTCTTGACTTTAAAGGCATGAAGTACAGAAAAGGTGTATATATTGAAGAAATTGCATTTATTCTCCCAGTGTAATAAAACCCCTTTCCTCTCAGGTGGTGTGTAAGGAGTATCGCAACTTTGATATCCCTACACAGCTGAAAGGTCTGACACAATACCTGGAGAATGCCTACAAACGCGACGAGTTTCGTCACACCTGCCCAAAGAATGAAGAGATCCTCATTGCCTACAAAACTGTGGCCAAATACCTGACCAAATAGAGCAGGTGTGGGAGGTGAAGCAGTGTGTGTGTGTGGAAAAATCGAAAAATGCAGTTCAGAAGATCTGAACGGCAGCAAGAACCTCAAACCTCAACATGATATTTTAAATTTACTCTAAATACTCAAGTGTGGTTGCTTATAATGTTTGCAGTTGCATTTTTCTTTATGTGTTTTGTACAGTTCTTATAATTATACTATTTTAGAGTCATTTTTATTAACTTTAAAGTGTAGGAATGCAGTTTTTGTATTTTGTCTCATTGTGTATGTCTGTTTTATGGCCAAACATCATGGTTTACAGTTATGAATAGCTTTAGCAAGGATCAATATTTTATGTTCATTAATATATATATATACGGTTAGCTAATTATATAACTATATATAATTATATAATTGTATGTATTAATATTTCAGAGCTAACTCAGTGTGGTTTTCCTTCACTGTAAAAAATACTTAACTGAATGAAAAAGAGTAAAAAAAATGTAACATTCGATACTGAAGGGTCCATTGTGAGAAAAAGTCCATTTTGTTGACATATCTTATTGGACAAATATTGAACAGGGTGTACAATTTAAACATAGAATTTTGTGTTTTTAACAACTGCATGACAAAATGTGTAATTTAATTGCAGGGTAATAAGAAATAATTGCCAGAGAAATGGGTGTATCTTAAAAGGTGTATATGTGTGACACAAGCAGCAAACTTTCTCACAAAGGACAAGTTCACACACATACACATGCACACACACACAAAATACACATTTAAGTTCAACCTCTGTAAAATAATAAATAAGATAATAAATACTTTCATGTGAACACACTCAAGTGAATCATTAGATAATGTTGTTAAAGTTCAAGTTGAGTCAATTCCTGTTATTTCATAGTTAAGTTTGTCATCAAGATTATTATAAGTTGTTCAAGTCATGTGAGACTTCTGTCAGCAACGTTAGCCTACACTAACGCAAATCCCTGTCCCTTTTAAATAAGGGGACAATAAGGGGACAATCCCTGTCCCCTTATTGTACACTTTAGTGTACAATAGGGACAGGGATTGTGTTATCACTGATGTTGCCTCCATGTTGATGGCCTCCGAGTCCTTACTTGTTGCTTGTTACTACAGACAACAGCGCACTCACCATTGATTGATCATGTTATGCAACCATGGTAAATCGTTGCTGTGTTATGATGTTTACACTTGTAAGGCCATGATGTTGTCTAAGCACATCCCAAAGTGAAACGTATAATCACGTGATCCCAAGCTCTGTTCCTAACTTTTGGCAATAAATTTAAAGAATAATTTAAATTATTTCACTGAACCGTATGCCTGTTAAAGTATTGCGTAATTAGAATTTAAATAATTCACGTGTTACCAATCACATTAATTAACATGGCTCACTGACTACCAAATTATTTTTCTCAGTTCAGTTTTGGGTAGGTAAGTGGTTTGTCATTAAACTTTCTTTAAAATAGTAAATGATAGCTTCAGTTCAACTTTACATTTACCAGAAAAAAAAGAAAAGAAAATGACTGAAATTAAACAATTAAAACTGTACCGCGGTATGTTTTAGATTATTCTTTATTTTCGAAGCTAAACCACAAATGCCTTCAGGGAATAACGCAGTCAGGACATGAGCCGATAGGCGTAAAATATTGTTGTAGACCAAAACAGTCGGTTTTTCAGGCGGTACTGCTATTAACAGGTAAACAGACATTACTTCCTGCCTTCACGTGATCTTAAAGCGAGACTAGCGCTGAGCGAGATGTGTCTATCTCGTTTCTGATTGGGTGCAGCTTCAGTCGACACCATGGCAACGGCAGGGAAGGGCGGAGCTGAGCAAGTAACAGCATAAAGAAAACTTTGTTAGCTAGCTGCTAACTTAATTCTTTATTCAGCGATGTAAACAATAGCATCAGGACCGCGGAAATCCTCAGAAAGTAAGCCTTGATGTTTCCGTTTAAGTAGGAATTTAAAACGCTGGAATGTGAAATAGACTTAGGTTATTTATGCTTATTAGCAAGACGGGTAACCACTGTGACTGTCAGACAGCTGCTAGCCTTGTTTATCAATCAGCTAACGTTGAGAGCTTCGTCCCAGCGCTTCCGTCAGATCGACACCCGAGGTTTGTTGAAGGCTGATTCGTTTGTTTGTTTGTATTTTTGCCAGGAAGCTGTCTTCAAATCTAGAATCCTAGCGAGATCACGGGGGAAGCTTCCAAGTGCTGCTAATGCAAAATTCCAGGTTCCTCTTTTTTCGTGCTCTCTTGTCTCTCTCAAATTGCTCTAGATTTCGTCCTAAGAAATTCGTTCGCGCCTTTTATTGCAGCAGTTTTATTGGAATCTTGTAGCGGGTGTTTTTCCTTGGGCAGGATGGAGTGCACTGGAGATGATGGAGACCAGTGTCAGTGGCCCAGTTCAGAAAGCACCTCAACTCCTTTTAATGAGGACGCGACAGAACAAACGTGGGATAAGGTAACAAACCCAATGTGAACAGCAACCAGACTGGTACTTTTAGTATTTGGAGCCATGATCTTGGGCTAACCTAAACTATATTTAGATGTTGAAGGCCAGCAGGAGTGTCCTGAAAGAACGACTTCAACAGTTTGTGGAAGAGAGGATGCAAACCACCATGGTAGGGAATTTATTTTCATTCACAGCTTTTATTTTGTTTCCTTGTGTGTTTATTACTATTATGTGTGTGTGTGTGTGTGTGTGTGTGTGTGTGTGTGTGTGTGTGTGTCTGTCTGTCTGTTATAATGTGAACATTATTTCTGACATTATTTAAATCCATGAGAAAACAATAAAGAATGAACTGAATTCACTCTGAGAATCTGATTAGAATGGGTATGCATTATTTAACTGGCAGTTTTATAAGGGTAATGTTAATGAGGCTTAAATGTCAGCTGTGACCTCTCATGTGACCCCACTTTTCCTTTTAACTGTTCTGTAGCTCACAGGTGTCCTGATTGGAGCTGGTTTTGCTGTCCTGCTGATTGGGACTGTGGTATTCTTCCTCTACAGGAAATTCAAACGTGCTTGTGAGTCTTCCATTGTCCTCTAAAGCTTCACATTTTAAATTCCATTTTTTTTCCATGTGTGTGTGCACATGCAAATTTGACATCATATAACCTATAGTTTATGTTTTGAATTTTCTGACAAGATGAGCAGCAGCCTAGTGGGCCTCGGTATCGCTTCAGAAAACGAGATAAAGTGCTCTTCTATGGGAGGAAGATCATGAGAAAGGTTTCTGCTATTTACACTTCCGTAACCATGCATGCAGCGAATATTGACAATCATGTGAATTGATTGTTTTTTTATTTTAAATGAGTAGTCCAATGTATTTAGGCTCCAAAGTATGCAGTATACATTTCTAGTTTTTCATTTTTACAGTACACGCCTGTTGTAAGATTAGACACTTTCTTATTTCAGTAACAAACTGTGGTCTTTAAACTTTGTACATTTTTACTCTAAGTTTTCAGTAATTTAGTCCACACCTCAAATAATATTTTGCTTTCCTAAGGTCCAGACTCTGTCTTCAACCCCTCCGTCTTCTAACTCGGTGTCAAAGCAATCACAACGCATACGCAAAAGAGCCAAAGTTCTGAGCATAGCTCGCAAGTATGCACCATTCACTTTTAGCTTTTACTTATATTATTTTAGTATTTTTCACAATTTTACTACTCATTTTAATTTGCCTTTCGATCATTTTTTTCCAACAGAATTCTGAGGATCCGTAAAGACCCTCCCACCCTGCAGTATAAGGAACCCCCTCCATCTCTGCTGGAAGCAGACCTAACAGAGTTTGACGTGCAGAGCTCACACCTTCCTTCTGAGGTTCTCTACATGTTGAAAAACGTCAGGTAACCAAACGTACAGCTCCCCGCTCATGTCGAGCTTTAGCCTCCTTGATGTTCCAAAGATTCCTCTGTTTTCTGATCTCTTACAGGGTCTTGGGTCATTTTGAAAAGCCTCTGTTTCTGGAACTGTGTCGCCACATGGTGTTTATTGAGCTGCAGGAGGGGGAAGTGCTGTTCAGGCCGGGGGATGATGATGATAGCATTTACGTGGTCCAGGATGGTAGACTCGAACTCTGCATTCAAGAGAATGTAAGTAACTGACAGCTCTATTTATCCTTTCTTCCCCCCAACATAATTTACATAAAACAATTTGTTTGAGATTCACATTTTGTCACACACATTATTTAAAAAATATATGAAATAAAAAGTAAAGATAAACAATAGCTCCATTGTTTATTAATTAGTTTTAATGTAATCTAGTAGTTGGTAAAGTAATGTGTTTAAGAGGACATGATCGATGTCTGCTGCCTTCTAATACAGGAAACATTTTACCAGCAGAGGGCACTACTGTGACATCTTAATCATTCATATTTAGCAGTTTCTTTGAAATGTGATTTTTAAAATTTTATTTATGCAGACATATAAACTGTTTATGAATTCAGAATAAAAAAAAATCTTTATTTTTAAAGGATGGCACAGAACCAGTTGTAAAGGATGTCCTTCCAGGAGACAGCGTCCACAGCCTGCTCAGTATTCTGGACATCATCACTGTGAGCCGCTATTTATTCCCTCATTGCACATCACACTGGGTTCTGTCCTCATTTCTACTCTGATCTGTTGCAATTAAATTAGTCAATCCATTACTGTTGTATGCCTGTGAATCCAACAGGACATTTATTTATTTGATTTAGTGATGCAATGTTTTATTTCATTTTCTGAAGTTATTCATTTATAGCTGCACTTTTTTTTTTGCTTGGTTCCTTTAATGGACATTTAGAGAAAAGATAATCCTGATCTGAGGGTTCAGCTGTTTGGAACAGAATGTACTTAAGATGATGAACAGTTCCAATTGAATTTAAATGTAACAGCTTAGAAAATCCACAGCACATTTTGGTTACCAATTGGAGTGTGTGTGACTATTTTAAATGTAAATAAACTCGTAAAAGTTATATCTCACTTAGTTTTACAACCTGTTTTTAATGGGGATTTAAGAAAATATTGATATGGCAATATATCGCAATATTTTTTCCAGCGATATTATATCGATATTCAAAAGACGTGTATCAAAAATATCAAAATCGCAATGTATTGTGATATTTTTCCTGTGATATTACATCGATATTCAAAAGCTGTTTAATTTTTGGAAGGATTTACATGCAAACATTTGTGTATTTTCTTTTCTTTTCTTGCGATTCAAACGCTGACCGCTAGTTGGCAGCAGTGTGCAATGGGTTTCGTTTCCACCATTGAAATGTAAATCCCTCTATTATGGTTCAGATAGCTCTTGTTAAACATGTTAAGTATCAGTTTGAACTGTTTATTGAATTTTCCTATAATAATTTCAGTCTAAAAAAATCACTAACATCATCTGGCTGAATGTATTGCAATATATCGTGATATATTATTGTATCATCTCCCCTGTATCGTGATACATATCATATCCCCATAATTTTACCAATACACATCCCTACTGTTTAAAAGCACCACATCTATAGGAATAATAAATTGAGAGAATGAAGAACTGACATTCTTACGTTAAGTAATTACTGGGTCAGGTTTGTGCTGATGCTCAGGGTGAAAACTGATCAGTCCTGATTTAATTTCAGGGGTATCCGGCTCCATATAAGACCGTATCAACACGGGCTGCAACTCGCTCCACCATCTTACGTTTACCTGCTTCTGCCTTTGAGTCCGTTTTTAAGAAATACCCAGAGACTCTTGTGCGAGTCATTCAGGTAACAGATGGCCCAACAGTAAACATAAAAAATGTAAATGAGTTATACTGATTAGCATCTTATTTAAATGCCATTTGAAAACAAAACAATACAAAATTTCTTCTCTTTTTCCTTACATTTGTGTTTTTGTTTTTACTTTCTTGGGTGGGGATTGCAGATAATCATGGTGCGACTCCAGAGAGTGACCTTTTTGGCGTTACATAACTATCTGGGCCTAACCACCGAGCTCTTCAATCCGGTAGGAGGGAAATTAATTGCTGCACACATATTTGTGTTTACATAGTCTTGCCAAGAGGCTCAGTGAATACCTAAGCTTGGCTTTTGATCAAATTATACACACACACACACACACACACACACACACACACACACACACACACACACACACACACACACACACACTCTCTCTCTCAAGCTAATTTTACACATCATTAAGCACAGCATCATAACTTTCCTACAGCTCAGTGAAATATGTATAGATATGATTGTAACCCTTCCATAAAAAGTGACGGCACAAACCTTTAAATCTGTCCTAGTACTATAGTTAAGGATGCATGGAACCAGTGGTTCCCCCAGATAATTTTCATAGGGGTGGCCAGATGGGGCCAGAGAAAATTTTGGGGGTTGCACACCAGATTGGTTCATGTGGTAACTCTAGGAGAGTTCAGCCAGTGGCGATGCATTGCACGCTCCTTTTATTCTTTTTCATTAAAAAAAACAATATGCACCAGAGATGCTTACCTCAAATTTGAAGAACATAATTTTTTCAGAAAGACATTTGAAACGGTTATTTGGAATGTGATTTTAAAATTTTTTGTAGAATCTTAAGCACTTTATTTAATTCACCTTTTAAATACTATGAATGTATAGTTTGTGTGAACATTAATATGATTCATAAAAAATGTTGGTCTTCTCTGGTGTGGCCAGCAATTTTCTTGGGGCGCCACTGCATGGGACCTTATTATGCACACGCAAGCCTCTGAGCTCTACAAGAAATATTGTCTGTGCAAACAAATCGTTTACAAGTAGCTCGATCAAGATCAAGTGTCCTTAACATTTGCGACTGAAGACTTGACCTTAACTGAGATGCTTTGTGTCACATTATTCACAGGAGAGTCAGGCAGTGCCTTTGTCCAATATAAATGGTGTGATGGCTGAGGCGAATTCTGGAAAGACAGCACGTCGTCTCCATCTTCAGGATGACGTACCTGCCGGGTTCTCAGAGAACATTTCAGAACCAGGTCTAGAAACTTGGTACTCCAATGAATTTTAAATGCAGCTCTGTTTGGAGACTGATCCACTGACTCAGATTTATATGCAACAGACTGTGCAAAGGAGAGCCCCTCAAACAGCTGCAGGAGGGTACGATCTATCTCCATGCCACCCGAGTGTACAGGTGGGTCACTGTCCAGCACGAATCTGACTAATGCTTGTATTACAACTTGTAAGTCTGCGTGTGTGTGTGTGTGTGTGTGTGTGTGTGTGTGTGTGTGTGTGTGTGTGTGTGTGTGTGTGTGTGTGTGTGTGTGTGTGTGTGTGTGTGTGTGTGTGTGTGTGTGTGTGTGTGTGTGTGTGTGTGTGTGTGTGTGTGTGTGTGTGTGTGTGTGTGTGTGTGTGTGTGTGTGTGTGTGTGTGTGTGTGTGTGTGTGTGTGTGTGTGTGTGTGTGTGTGTGTGTGTGTGTGTGTGTGTGTGTGTGTGTGTGTGTGTGTGTGTGTGTGTGTGTGTGTGTGTGTGTTTACAGGAAATGATCTTAACATGGCCTGTGAACGAGCTCGAGTGATCATAGATGAGGCTCCTGCAAGTCCTGCCACTCAAAAAGTACTTTTTTTTCCCTTTGTCGGTTCTTCACTGACGTGTAGATTTAAAATAACTCAACACCTTCTGTGCCTTATCCTCATGTGATTTATCTCTAGAACTTTAACTTTTTTCTTCTACTTCTGTAGTCTAGTCTGAAAAAAAATGTGACAATGCAGCCCACGCCTTCTGAAGTGTTACACTATACGGACAGTGGGGGGCAGTCTGACGCCATCAGCTTCGGTAAAAGCAGCACGATCCTCCAGGCTGCCAAGAGAGACCTGCAAGTGATCATCCAGCTGCAAGTATTTATAAATCAATACATCTAAATATATTTACAATATGTACTTTTTTCTTTTATTGAGCAATATGTTTTACTGGCATCTTTAATTATGAATGGGTGAGATCTTGTTTATATTCGAGGAAAACCGTTTTTTGTGTGTCTCTTGTTTGCAGGACCCCGGTCTACTCGATGGCAGAGTGACCCTTCATCATGTCAAAGCTGGTTCTGTTGTAGCTCGTCAGGGAGATCAGGTCAGGGAGTCCTTTCATGACGCGAGTTTCTTCTAAATCCATTTCTTTTATTGTCATTTTTATGAAGATTATTGATGACCTTTAGCCTAGTTAGTCAGGAATGAGCCTCTGCTAATGAATTTGTTATTTAGTATTTGATCAATGAACATTCAGGCAAAGCTCATAAGGTTGGCGTTTGTTGCAAATAATGGGCAAAGAGGCAACAAAACTAGATTATTATCAGACCTTTCAGTAGAAAAAGGAGTAATTTGTTCTTGAATTAAAAAAAAGCTTCATTTGTATCTTAGAATATAAATAAAAGGGTATTATTTCATTTAATTTTTTAAAAACTAAACAGTTAATCTCAGAAATCTTTATTTGATCGTGATGAGATTCAGAAAACTGTTTAAACCTGTCCTGTTTCTGTGTTTTAGGAGGTGAGCATCCACTTTGTGATTTCAGGGCTCCTCCATGTTTATCAGCGGATGATTGATCGTGAAGAAGACACGCGCCTGTTTGTGACGCATCCTGGAGAGCTCGTCGGCCAGCTCGCCGTCTTGACCGGAGAGCCCCTCATATTTACTGTGCGAGCCCAGCGAGACTGCAGCTTCCTCTCCATCTCTAAAACGCACTTCTATGAGTGAGTCACATGATCACATGATCACTTGTACCCCACATTCTTTACAAACATCTTTGTATGCAGCCAGAAGTATCCCAGGATGGTTTCAGCTCCCCTTTCTTCACTTTTATTTTCATGTTTGTGTTTAATCCATCAGGATAATGCGAGTCGAGCCAAAAGTAGTTCTGAACGTTGCTCACACCGTGTCCAGGAGGATGTCGTCTTTCATCAGACAGATCGACTTTGCGCTGGACTGGATGGCCGTGGAGGCCGGCAGGGCCGTTTACAGGTGTTCTGCTCCAAGCGTCAGCTCACGTCTGCAGATGAGATCAGCTCTAACCACAAGAGAGGTCAAAGTCAAAAGGGCCACACTTCTGCTGAGATAACCGTTATCTTTACATTTTCAGGCAAGGAGACAAATCAGACAGTACATTTATTGTGCTGAGTGGCCGACTGCGCTCTGTTATCATGAAGGACAATGGCAAGAAAGAGATGATTGGAGAGTACGGACGTGGCGACCTGATTGGAGTGGTAAGGCCCTCGACCGAGACGGGCAATGAATTATAGCGAGTGGAAAACGTTCCTCATGAGTATTCGTGTCCGTGCATCAAGATTAATGCTTCAGCGTTTTCTTCAAAGTATGAAATGTGCAAATTTATTAACATTATTCACTAATAGCCATTTATCAGATTGATAGTTCACTCACTGACAATATGTGTAGTTAATTAAAAATACTGCCAGTGTGCTTCTAAAAGGCTTGGCCGTTTATTATCCACACCAATTAGAAAATGAAACCTATTTCAAAAAGTGGGTAATAAAACAGTCATTTATTTCATTCAGATGATTCAAATCAACATTGTTGGTCTTTTCTGTCTGATTAAAAAAAAGTATTTATGTATAAAATTTGTTTTTAATCTTTTTAAAAATAAGTCCTCACATTATTCAAAAAAGTGTTACTCAGGATTTTGAACCTAGTCTCATATAATCTGAGCCTGATTTGAATTTCTCTGTGCGTGACACAGAGCTGGAGATGAAGGTGATGAATAATCTTTGAAATTTCGACCACCGTGTGATAAAAATACTAATAATTCTAATTACGGAGCTTTCAATGTCGACATGAATTTGTGATGTCAAAGTTGGATGTGGTGAAGCAAAAACGCTCACTTAATCTAACTTGTATAAAAAAAAGTAAGCATTGTTGATCATAAAATCTAATAATGACCTCGTTAAAACACGGAAAACACACTTGAGGTTGTATCGGGGATCTGACGATCTTTATGACATCAAAAATTTTACTTGCTGCAACTTTTCACCTGCAGTTATCACATGCTGTCTTAGGGAATCGGACTTAAAAAGAAACTCATGCTCAGGTTTACACGTGTGTAACACTTTTGCAAAGTGCTACCTCCTTGATGGAATAAAATCTGAAATGGACACAGCTGCATGTATTTTGACATTTTGGCAGCCTTTGTGAAACACCTCTGGTTGCTGAGACGTGTCTCTGCCTCAGAGCTTCTAATAATAATACCTGGGCTGACGGATGCTATGGTTACGGTTACTTGGAGGAGGAAAGCTGTCACTGCAGCTGTTGTGATATTGGAAATAAGATTGCTATAAGAGGTGTCCAACACTAAGACATATTTAGTCATGCTGTACTGACGTCAGCTCTGAGGGATGAAATGGAAACCTCTCATTTGGAGCTCTTTTTTTTTTCTTTCTCCCACTTCCGATCTGTTTCTAAACCCTGCGCTCTGACACTGATGGAGCGTTACAGGTCTCTTAAACAGATTTAGAAAAATGAAAGGTATAACTCCTCAACCAGACACATCAACTCAGTTGGTCTTCAGTAACGTCTCTTTGGCTTATTTAGTTAAAGTAAAGTAGAGGCAATCCTGGTCAGAGCAGGTGGTTTTAAAAACTACACATTATACCATAAGAAGCATCTAACCTAAAGGTATTTTTGGGTTCAGTTTATCTCATTTACTGGGAGGTTGTGTGTTTTAGGGGGAATTACAAAAAGCAATTAGAAAACTTGCTGTACTCCATTCAGTATAACGGTTAAATAATTTTGTAGTGTGAATGGTGCTGGTGCATGGGAAGGGACAGGTGTGTGTGTGCGTGCGCGTGTGCGTGTGTGTGCGTGCTCGCATGCTCGCTCTGTCTTCTCGATCCCCAGTGAGTCGTGGAGGATGGCTGCTTATACTGAGCCAGCATCCTCTGGAGGTTTCTTCCTGTTAAAAGGGAGTTTTCCTCTCCACTCTCGCTACATGCTTGCTTAGTATGAGGATTGCTGTAAAGAGATGCAATCTGCCGAGTTCCTTATATAGGAAACTTTTTGGCTTAATGAACTGAACTGTATTGGAATGTTTACTTGGCGCTAGATAAATAAACTGGATTGAATTTGAATTGAATTATTCCTCCTTAATTACTTGTAGAAAATTGTTGAGCGTTTCTTCATTTCTTGAGTAGATGAGTTTTCATTATGGTTGGATCCTGGCTGAGTTTTATTTTTACACTATAATAATTGTTCTGCGTGCTTCTGCAGGTTGAAACCCTGACCCATCAGAACCGAGCCACCACTGTCCACGCTGTGAGAGATTCTGAGTTAGCCAAACTACCCGAGGGAGCGCTCTCCTCCATCAAGAGGAAGTTCCCTCAGGTATTCAGAAATGATGAGAGAATTCTAATCAGCCAGAGAGTCGAGAGAGAGTTTTAACATGCGTGTTAAAATGTTCAAATTCAGGCTTAAAGTTAAACTCAGAACATGAAATAAATGTTTTTACCTTCCAGGTGGTCACCAGGCTCATCCATTTACTTGGTCAGAAGATCCTCCAGCAAGTCAACGTTCCTCTTTCAGGTGTTCTACAACATTTATTTCTGCTTCTATAATTTATATACATTCTGGTTCTTGTTTATCATTGCTCCGCTGCTTAATATAACTGTCAGCATAGATGTTAACGCTCCTGTAAAAATACTTCCAGCTCGTAGTTTGGCACTCCACACTCCAGGAAGCAAGTGGGACGCAGGAAATCAAGCCTCCAACCTGTCGACTGTGACAGTTCTGCCCGTTTCAGAGGAGGTGCCTTTGACCGCCTTCACTCTGGAGCTGCAGCACGCTCTCCTCGCTATAGGTAAACCATAAGTACACTTTTACATCTCAGTTAAAGTGTTCTGATCGTTTTACTCATTTGAAGCCTGTTTCTAGTAAATGGATGGATTCACATACGAATCATCAGAATAAAATGTTATCATTTATGTTTAATTAATGTGATGTAAACACAGCCTTGTTGGAAAGACAAACATAGATACTCAGATATGTTCTTTTAGATGCATCATGTCACCAAAGTGTTTCTACTTTCAGATTTAGCCCAAAAACCACCTTTACTGCCACTTGCCTGAAACCAGTCTAGTTTATCATGTTTCTAAATTTACAACACAGAAATAGAAACATAATCAGATTGGATTACTGGTAATCTTGTGCTGAAAAATAATCCCTGCTCCAGTGTGACTCTTGTACACTTCCCCCGCTGTTGAATTAGAGATTTATTTTGTGCCCGTCCTTGTTTGAAGTGAGAAAGAGCTTTTCACCACAGCTCCACAGCTGAACGTGCCCTTGGCTGTATAACACAGGCTAATTAACATTATAAAAGAGTTTTGCTTTTACTGCAGTGACCTTTTGAGGCTTTAGGGACTGATGGCTATTTCAGAAGCAAAAATGTATCAGATGCTAACAGGAAGTGGGGTCTGATCTCGTGCAGGGCCCACGCTTTTGCTGACGAGTGACATTATCAAACAGAGACTTGGAGCTGCAGCATTAGACAGGTATGGCTGATAAAAGGTTAAATAAAAATGCATCATAGCTCTAATCAAAGCTCAGTTTCACTTGATTTGTTCTTTTTTTGTTTTTTGTTTTGTTTGAAATCTCACTTTAGTTGATGTTTGAGCACAACAAGAAGAACTGATTGCCTGTAAGCTTCATTAATGGACTCTCTTCCTCTTTAGTGTTCATGAGTACCGACTGTCCAGCTGGCTGGGCCAACAAGAAGACCTCCATCGCATAGTTCTTTACCAGACTGACTACTCACTGACCCCGTGGACACAGCGGTGCATCCGTCAGGCTGACTGCATCATTATTGTGGGAGTAGGGGAGCAGGACCCCGCTGTCGGGGAGGTGAGGTGAAACGTGTGGGCTGCCACTAGAGCAGAGAGGGCGCTGAAACTGTCAAAGGTCACACTTGGTCGTCTAATCATTTGGATTTCAGTATTTATGGAATTAGGTGTATTTTTTACTGTTTATGAGCACACTAATATGAAATAGCTATAAATGAATGCAAGATAATGATAATGATGAAGAAAATATAAAAATATTAAAATGAATGTTATAATAATGTAAGGTAACAAGGTTTAACTTATTTACTCAAACACCCCCTTATTTATGTAGAATAGCTTAGTTTGATCCCCCACCCCCCACCCCAGGAAGTTCAGTGCATGCTTCAGTAAACTATACGGGGCTCTAACCCTAACCAGTCAGAGATAATAAAGCATGACCCAGTCTTTAATTTACTCAGATAATTGTGCCTTTGACACCAGGAAACCAAATTTTTGTTTTACTTTCTTCCAAACATGTTTCCTACAAGTCCATAAGTAGTTAAACCAGCTCATGTGGTTATTTATCCATCAGTCAGGTTGTCTCACATGCTGGGATAATTATGTTATGATCAAGGGCTAAAGTATAATTAATGGTGGCCTTTCCTGGCGGTATTTCTCATGCTGCTTCAGTCTTTACGGTGCACCGATGTCGCTAATTTAGAAAAAAGCTCTTGAAAAAGTTGCATTTTTTGTGTTGAGAGAGAGATTTGTTTTAGGCTGCAGCAAAGAGAGAACAGCCCTGCTAACAGCAGAATAGCACCGTCACATGAACAAGTGAAACTTTAAAGTGGACACGCTTCGGCAGCAGAAATCAGCGGCAGGTTCCACATTTGCAGACTCATCACACCTGAAAGGCTGAAGGCACAAAAAAGTCACAAGGTTCTTGATTCATATAGATTTAAATCATAACAGGCTTACAGGGAACACAACATTTTCATCTAGATAGGCTCAATAAATAGATGAAATGGTAATGTTTCTAATTAGAGATCAACCGATATTGCTTTTTCTGCTGCCGATATCTAGAGGGCATGGTCAGCTGATGGCCGATATGTGCTGCTGATTTGTTTGGGTCAATTTTTGTGACCGAAATCTAAATATTTTTCACTTTATTTGCATGCTAAAAAGTCACTAATAACATCAGTTGATGAACAAAATTTCTGAACCTGAATCATTTTTTGACCTCTGTTAAATCTTAATTTTGTGCACTGCTCAGTGTCAGACATGTAACTAAAGTTAATCAAACAAATCAATTTATTGAGCAAGTATTAAATGTTCAAAACTGGAGTATAAAAAGAAATTAGATAGAAAATATTTGTTAGAGCATTTCTTATGCAGATGTTATTCAGGAACATGAATTTACATTTCTGTTCTACCCGGGGATGTGTCTGTCTTTAAATCAGCTTTACTAAAGAGGGAGATCGGCCGATGCTGGTGTGCTAAAAATGATAAACATTGGTCTACCCCTACTTCTAATCAAGTTTTTAGTAAAGTGGTTTCATCTAAATCTTACATTCAAGAAGCCAGGTTGTGTTTGATGTATTGTTTGTGTAATCCAGCCAAGACGCAGGTCTGCTGTGATATGAAGGTCACTCCTACCTTTATGCACTTGAATCATGTCAGATCCATGATTTTAGATAAAGTAATGACCAAACTGGCTTGGAACAGTTTGCATCTGACCCCTTATCATGGACATAAACGAGCTAAAGGTAGATGGACGTTGTGAAGGGAGAGCTGGATGTTAAAGGGCAGGTGTGGCTGATGAAAAAGATATAATTTCCTTTAACTTTGGGACGGAAGAAAAGAGAACCTGTCCCCGTTTAACAGGAAATGGAGGACGAAATGGAAAGATGGATCAACGTTTAGTTTGGCTACGAGTGAGTCATAACCCTAGATGGATTTTTATCTTTTAGGGCACATGTGAGCAAAACATCCCTATCCTGCTTGTGCATGAAACCCTCCAAAGAAAGCAAGAAAAGAGAGGAAATCCAGAGTTGAGGATTAATTTAGTGTGAGTGTGTGAGTGTGTGAGTGTGTGAGTGTGTGAGTGTGTGAGTGTGTGAGTGTGTGTGTGTGTGTGTGTGTGTGTGTGTGTGTGTCAGTGCTTGTTTAAAATCTAATGTCCCCTCTACTCTCCAGGATGCTTCAGTGCTCTTTCCACATCAAGTACTCGGGGTTCTCGTTATTCGATCTGTGCCAGCATTACTCGGGAGAAATGCTGATGAAAGTGGCAAATATAAGATGTTCTCTAACATCTGTGCTCAATGCCTCCCCTCTTTAGCTGGAGCGTATGTTGGAAGGAAGCGCGGTGCGTGCCCAGAAGCAGCTGGTGCTGTTGCACAGAGAAGATGGCCTGCCGCCCCAAGGAACGGTGCACTGGCTCAACATGCGAAGCTGGATCTCCAGACACCTCCACCTCTCCTGTCCCCGAAGGGTCTTCTCTAAAAGGAGCCTTCCTAAGCTGGTCGGGATACAAACGCAGCCAGACATGTCTTTACGTTCCCTCCATGATGTTTCATTTGGAGATGAAAACACTTTATTAAGTCCCAGTTGACTCATCTACTTTTAGGCTGACGGTTTTATTTTGGTATCATTTTTTCTCTTCTACACCACTAAAACTCTCCTGTTTGTTTTCTTTTAGCTGGAACTGTACCAACGTGTCTTTGAAAAGCCAGCAGATCGCCACTCTGACTTTTCCCGTCTGGCTCGCATCCTAACTGGCAACGCCATTGCTCTTATCCTTGGAGGAGGAGGGGCCAGGTACAATTTGACCTATTTTATTGTTTCTCTACCCGCCTGGTCTGGTCCATTCTGTTTCATAATATAAACATATTTTCTTTCGAACCAGAGGTTGCTCCCAAGTGGGAATATTGCGGGCGCTGTGTGAGTCGGGAATCCCAGTGGATCTCATAGGTGGGACCTCAATTGGTTCCCTGATGGGGGCGCTGTATGCAGAGGACCGTAGCCACACCCGCATGAGGATTAGAGCCAGAGAGTGGGCAATGGTGAGAGTAATGATTGATCAGCTGCATTGATAAATATTCGCAAATTTTATCTTCAAAATGCAAATTTTACAGTAACAGATCAACCATCGGGTGTTTTTGTACAAATGGCTATGAATGGTTGCATCAGGATGTTTTTGCTGGAAGACACGGTAATGATTTATAGTGCGTTTAGTGCCAATCACAGCCTTAGGTTATGTGTTAAAAATGCCCAAGTTCATCCTTGTGAAAGCACCATGTGAGCACCTGCTCCCGTGAGTGTTCAGTAGTGAGTGTGAGGAACCACAGGCCTGCCCCCAGAGACCCATGGGTGATGGATGAAACGTTTTTTAACACTGTGGCTACAGGAGTTTGATCCATGCGTGTTCACATAGTTTCAGATTTATAAAACCTAAAACATATTTAGATTTTTGTGTTTTGAATCTTTCCTGTAAGAACTTCGCAACAAGAGCAGCTGTTTCATACAAGACTGTGGTCTTTACAAAAGTTGGATTAAAATGGAACAACTTAATAGAGATTCTCTTAAAGATTGAATCTTATCAGTAAGGAATCACAGATCGTTTGTAAATTCAGTCCAGTCATTTTTAAATTTAAAATTCAACTTTGAGGAATTGAATTTATTTCTGAAACTTGTTGATGTTTGGCTTTCTTCCCCAGGAAATGACCTCAAAGTTCAGGAAGGCTCTGGATTTCACATACCCATGGGCCTCTATGTTCACCGGCGCTGCCTTCAACTCCAGCATCAGTAATGTGTTTAAAAGCAAACAGATTGAGGTGAGACTGAGGAACAAGAAACAGGAAGTGGCAGTTTTAGTAGATGATCACCTTAATGAGCATGTTCTGTTATCTGGTTTTTAGGACCTTTGGATCACCTACTTCAATATTACCACTGACATCACCGCATCAGCAATGAGAGTACATACAGATGGTAAAGATTCTCTTTTATATTATATTCCCAAAGAAAAGGTTGAGACCTTTTTGTGTTTTATATTTTCTGTGGTGCGTTTTTAAATAACTTTAACAAACATCCTATTTGCTGTTTGAGGTTCTCTGTGGCGGTATGTGCGTGCCAGCATGTCTCTGTCAGGTTATCTTCCTCCTCTCTGTGACCCCAAAGATGGCCACCTACTGATGGATGGTGGCTACATCAACAACCTGCCTGGTCTGTTTAATCCAGTCCAAATGGGTCGTGTAACCTTAGCACCCTTTCATCGATCTTTTCCTGACATCTGCAGTTGACTCATTTCTATATGCTTCCTTGTTACCTTTCATGTGTTGGTCCTTTGGACTCTCCCAGCTGATGTGGCGCGCTCCATGGGGGCCAAAGTGGTGATTGCTATTGACGTGGGCAGCAGGGATGAAACCAACCTCACTAATTATGGCGACTCGCTCTCAGGCTGGTGGGTGCTATGGAAACGCTTCAACCCCCTGGCTGAGAAAGTGAAGGTGATGAATTGATTAATAAGACACAAGAAACTGTGGAAATGTTTAAAAAGGAAATCAGGCTTGTGAATAACAATGGGGGTATTTTTAGAGCCGAGTTTTACTGATGCGCAAGTTGATTGGAACAGGTGCTGAACATGGCCGAGATCCAGTCTCGGCTGGCCTACGTGTGCTGCGTGAGGCATCTGGAGTCGGTGAAGAACAGCGACTACTGCGAGTACATCAGGCCCCCGATCGACAGATACCGCACTCTGGAGTTTGACAAGTTTGATGAGATAGCTGTGAGCTTTACCCAGATCCATTATTGCTCATGCTTTTATTGTTGGATGGCTTTTTAGGATAAAACACTGATGGACTCGCCTGTGTCTTCCAGGAAGTGGGATACCAGCACGGCAAGACAGTGTTTGATGTGTGGAGTCGCAGTGGTGTAGTGGAGCAGATGCTGAAAGACAGACACCAAGAGGACTTCCACAACATCCAACGAAAGGGCAATGTAAGCATGAGTGGTGTGAGTCATCAACATGTGGGAATCCTGAGGGGGTGTTTTTATTCTGAACAAGCAAAGGTTGAATCTTTGTGCCAAAACAAGCAGAATTAGCCCTAAATTTACTAAAACTACCTTCTTAAAATTGGTAAAATTTATCTCTTTTTTTTTTTTTTAGCAATCCTCGACTTTCTCCATTCTAAATGTGGGCAGCATTTAAACAGAACGTATACTTTTACTTAAACCTTGATAGATACAGGAAGCCATGAGGTACAAAACATCTAACGCCATGTTTTTGGCAGGGTGGGACAATTTCATTACTGGTGCATCACAGATAAACAGATTAGTTTTAAGCCGTTGTTACAAAACTATGCCGTCAATTTGCTGCAATGCCATCTCAGCTGATTTTGTTCAAAAAGCAAAACTTATGGCTTGTGTTTACTTTCGTTTTCAATGCAGTTGCCAGCCGTAGCTCGGCAGTAACTCTCTACGCCATCACGACACCTCCTATTGCCCCAAGGTGCAATCGCTGTTTATATGACAGACAATTACTGCAATATTACTACCAAGCAAGGCGGAACGAATGCTGCAAAATTTGCACATCGCCATGGCGTGTTTATAAGGCAAGGCAGCTTTATTTATAGAGCACATTTCAAACACAGAAGCAATTCAATGTGCTTTACAATCAAGACACGGTGTGTCTTGTAAAAAGGGCTAGAGATGCACCTTCACTAATTTCAGGAGGTATACAGAGACAACAGGATGAGTATGATGGACCAGGATGGAGGAGGATTGAGGAGATAAGGTCAGGAGGAAAAGTAAGAAGAAATGAGGCACAGTGAGCAGAGGGAAGGTGAAGAAGCAGAGGAGAGAAGGTAATAATCCTGTAATCTTATAATAAACTCGGCACACTGACACACTCTAAAAGCATAGAGGCAACGTCTTGGTGCCTCAGCCAATCAGAGAGCTTGTTTGGGGAAGAAGTGTAAAAGAAGGAAGAGGAGCATCACCTCCTGGTGTGTTGAAGCATCCAAGGCTACTTCTATACTAATCCCAATCCTGAGCTTTACTATAGATTTTTCTAAAGAAATATGTTGCCATGGAAACTCTCAATGCCAACTAAAAGTCTCATATTGGAGCTGTTCATTTTTATGCAGACATGTTTTTTTTTCTCTTCCTGCAGATTTAAACTGGATGTTCTTAAAAAGACGTATAAGCCCATAGTCTAACTTACTATTTATGCACACATTTAAAGTTTAGTTGTTTTATTTTATGTGTGTTTCATAATTTAAACTGCTTTATGCGTTGAACGCATGCTGATGGAACTAACAAATTGTAAATGAAAAAAAAGTTAATATTAATTTAAAGTTATATTTGGGTGTGTTGAGTGTCATTCATACCTCATACCTCTCAGAAATGGAATCACTTGCATTAGATTTGTCTCTAAGCAATGGTAAAGAAAAACATTGTTGATAAGCAAAAGTCAAGATGAAGAAAAATGACGTTTACGTTCAAACTGAGCTATAAAAGATAAAGGGAATAAAAGCAAAATCAATGATGTAAAGAATCATGACAACGTCCTGAAGCAAAAAGCAACAAATGCACCCAAAAAAGAAACGAGGACGAAGCTTATTGTTGTTGTTGCAGATCTGAACAGTGATGCTGTCTCCTGACTAACTCCCATTTTCTTTAAGACAATAGTTGTCCCACACAGAAATGTAATGATGTCTTATTTTCAGAAGCTTCTGTAGGATGTAGCTCTCAGGAGAAATGGCGCACGTCTTCAGCTAAACAAATAGACACTGTTGGTCAAGATGGTGGTGGTGGTTGTGTGGGGGGTGGGGTGGGGGTGGGGGTGGGGGGCTGTAATTAGGGAAAGATCTGAAAAGAAATGAAGGTGGAAGAGGCAAAAATAAAGAAATTATGTCAACAATAGCTTCCTGTGGCTTGTTTTTATTTACTTTTTATGAGCTGAATCTGTGTGTCTTCCAGGTATTGACATGCCCCAATGCCTCCTTCACTGACCTTGCAGAAATTGTGTCCCGCATCGAGCCCGTCAAACCTGCCTTGATGGATGGTAAAACTACTGACACATATTTCAGTCCTGTCACTTTCAGCCACACTCATTATCCTCCCTAAAACGTGCTGGCAGTGTGTCTGGGAGATGCAGTTTTAACTTTTCTCCGTGTTTCTCGTGCTTGCTCAGTTTCTTCCTGTTTTATTCTACGAGGATATATGATGTATCTTTTTTCCTGCGTACCTGTTCAGATGTCTTCTCTGAAACCTTTTCTGTTTTGTTACATTTAACTGTTTGGTTTGCTCCTTTTTTCCCCACATTTTCCTTCTCCTTCACCCACAATCCTCCACGGTTTCCCTTCATCAGAGGAGTCAGACTATCACACTGACTATGAGGAGGAGGCATTGGAGAGTGCCCTTTCTGACACGGAGGTGTACGGTCACTACGGAGAGCACACTGAAGGGGAGGAAACGGCTGACACGGTGTGGACTACTTCCTGCTCAGGGGGAGAGGAGAGGTTCTTTTACTAAGTGAAAACCTGCTTCAACTTTGCACAGTTTTATAATAATTCAGCACATTTTGGGTAGAATTTGTCACTTTTTAATTGAAGGAACCTTTTTGTAATATTTTATAAACTCCCACCTGGAAATCAAGTAAATCTTTAGCAGCAGTGTTCTTGTTAAAAGTGTTACTTAATGTACTTGTATGATGGCGTTATTGACCAAACATTAGTACCTTTTTAGGTCAAGTTCCTAGAAAATCAAATGGGATGTTTAGGCCTTTGACTAATTTAAGATTTTGGGCATTAAGAGTATTTTAGTTGTAGGATTCTGCTGAAAGTTGGTTGGAAATTTAATTTTAGCCCTTTAAGTTAATCTCTTTATTTTACTGAAACTTGCTCTAAGCTCCACTAAGATTCCCCCCCCCCCCCCCCCCCCCCCCCCCAAGAATCTAAATAAAATTGAAATGATTATCTTATGCTAAATGGTAAATGGCCTGTAATTATACAGCTCCTTCCAGGGTTCTACAGCCCCCAATGTACTATACAACACAGTCATTCATGGTCTTACATTAATATAATTTTATTATTATGGGGGGAAAATGACTTTTAAGGGTTCTACAACCCCCCAAGGCACTTCACAGCACATTCATTCACCCATTCACATGCAATTATACCCTTTATTATTCATTTACATTAGATTATAATTCCTATCGGTTAAAATAAAAATAAAAAAACATTATTTTTCAGTTTTTTTTCTTGATGTGAAAGGGTTAATCAGAGCGTTTCTTGTATTTTCCCACATATTAGAAACTATAATCACTCTGTGAACTGTTTCAGGGCAATTTTCATTTTTTCCTCTCCAATCCAATTTTATTTCTGTAGCACATTTAAAATCTGCATGGCAGCTGACCAAAGTGCTGAACAGATGAACAAAAACAATACAATACAAATCAGAAATTAAAAACACAGCTAAACCAAATAAAACAACCAATGGCCAAATGCTTGAGTAAAACAATGCTATTTCAGTGCAGCGCTCTCACATTGGTATAAAATGATGGCTGTGAAAGTTTCTGAATGGGTGGTAATTCTAGTAATTTCAGAGAAAATGTTGGGAAAGTAAAAGTAAATTGCTGACTGGTGTACAAAGATGAGGTGCGGGTTAATTTTGGAATCAGACCAAAGATAAAAGTGATCAATAAAACTGTGAGATGTGTTCTTAATTAAATTCAGTTCAAAAATACTTTATTAATCCCAGAGGGAAATTGATTGCTGTAATAGCTCAGAATAATAATAATAATCAAGGCGTCAAAGAGTTATTGTATATTACAATGGCTGTTGGCAGGAAGGATCTCCAGTAGCGGTCAGTGTTGCAGCGAAACTGAAGAAGCCTCTGACTGAAGACACTCTTCCGTTGTCGGACAGTCTTGTGAAGAGAATGCTCAGGGTTGTCCATAATTTTCTTCATTCTCTGGAGAATCCTTCTTTGCATCATCTCCTCCAGTGGTTCCACAGTCGTCCCCAGAACAGAACCAGCCTTTTTTATTAGGCTGTTGAGCCTTTCCAGGTCCCTGCTTCTGATGCTACTACGCCAACAGACGATGGCTGAAGAGATTACATTCTCAACAACAGACTTGTAGAAGATCTGCAGCATCTTGCTACAGACATTGAAGGGCCTAAGCATCCTCAAGAAGTGCAGTCTGCTGTGTCCCTTCTTGTAAACGGCTTCGCTGTTCTTTCTCCAGTTCAGTCTGTTGTCCAGGTGAACTCCAAGGTATTTGTATTCCTCAACCACCTCCACTTCTTCTCCCATGATGGAAACAGTGTTTGACTTCACCCTGTTTCTTCTGAAGTCTAAAATCATCTCCTTTGTTTTGTTCACGTTCAAGGTCAGATGATTGTTTCCACACCATGCTACAAAGCGCTCCACCAGCTCTCTGTACTCAGCTTCCTGTCCATCTCTGATAGACCCGACAACTGTAGAGTCATCTGAGTATTTCTGTAGATGACAGGTCTGATTTGTACTGGAAGTCTGAGGTGTACAGGGTGAAAAGGAATTCAATTAAATTCAATTCAAAAATACTTTATTAATCCCAGAGGGAAATTGATTAATGGTGAGAGTACAGTCCCATGTGGTGCTCCATTGTTACTGATCACCTGGCTTGATGTGCAGTTCTTCAGCCTCACAAATTGTGGTCTGTTTGTCAGGTAGTCTTTGATCCAGGCAATAGTTGAGCCCCCCACCTGTGTCTTCTGGAGTTTCTGGCAAAGTACATCAGGCTGGATTGTGTTAAATGCACTGGAGAAATCAAAGAACATGACCCTCACAGTGCTGCCTGCTTTGTCCAGATGACAGTGGATTGGTTGAAGCAGCTGGACGATGGCATCTTCAACTCCAACTCTATGGTGATAAGCAAACTGCAGCGGGTCCTGATATGCCCTAGTTTGCTTATTCAGGTGGACCAACAGGAGTCTCTCCAGGACCTTCATGATGTGGGATGTCAGGGCAACCGGTTTTTAGTTGTCACTGACTGATGGGCGAGTTTTCTTTGGAACTGGAACAAGGCAGGATGTCTTCCACAGGACTGGAACCTTCTCCTGGGCCAGGCTGAGGTTGAAGAGGTGCTGCAGAATCCCACAGAGCTGCTCTGCACGGGCCTTCAGTACTCTGGGGCTGACACCATCTGGACCTGCAGCCTTGTTCCTGTTCAGTCCCTCCAGCTGCCTCTTCACCTGACTTCTAGAGACAGATAGGTGGGAGGGGGAGGTAAATGGGGCAGCAGCATCTCCTGACTTGGTTGAAGGCAGATTTATAGGACCAGAAGAGCCCATAACTGTGTTAGAGGACAAAAGAGCTGGCGGGTGACATGAAAATGTTGGATTAGAGGAGGATGGGATGTCTGATTGGCTGGGGACAGGCGAGGAGGATGCTGGGTTTGTTCCTGAACTGAACCTATTGAAGAACTTGTTCAGTTCATTGGCTGTGTCCAGGCTGCCATCTGTGCAATCCTTCCTCTGCTTGAAGCCTGTGATCTTCTTCATCCCTGACCAGACATCTCTGATATTGTTCCTCTGTAGTTTGTTCTCCAGCTTCTTCCTGTATGTCTCCTTGCTGTCCCTGATCTTGATCTTCAGTTGCTTCTGTATACTCAATGATTCCCTGTCTCCCTCCTTGAAGGCTCTTTTTTTTCTCATTTAGCAGATTCTTCAGTTCACTTGTGATCCAGGGTTTGTTATTAGCGAAGCCTCTCACTGTTCTGGTGGGTATGACGTTGTCTACACAGAAGTTTATATAGTCAGTGACCCATCCAGTCATGGCATTGATGTCCTCTTCATATCCTTGGCAGAGAGTCATCCAATCTATGGTCTCAAAACAACCCTGCAGGGCTTCTTCAGCGTCCTGTGACTATTTTCTCACAGTTCTTCTTGTAAAAACAAGATTGTGATCTGATTGTCCCAGAGGAGGTCTTGTTTAGGACATGTATGCATTCTTTACATTTGCATAACACAAATCCAATGTCTTGTTTTCTCTGGTGGAGCAGCTGACAAACTGTTGAAATGTTGGAAGTGTGGCAGCGAGTGAGGCATGATTAAAATCACCAGATATAGCCACAAATGCATTGGGGTGCTGGGTTTGTAGCTTAGTGACAACAGAACTGATGGCATCACATGCATTTTCAGCAATGGCTGAAGGTGGAAAATAAACGGTTGCCAAGACAACACTGGTTAACTCTCTTGGCAAATAATATGGGCAACAACTTACTGCCAAGAGTTCAACATCTGGGCTGCTGAGACGACATTTCACTGAAACATGACCTGGATGGCACCATCTGTTGTTGATGAGCGCTGCCACTCCACCTCCTTTTCTTTTCCCGCTCCTCTTCAGATCTCTGTCTGCTCGTACAGTCAGGAATCCTGGCAGAGAGACGCTGGAATTGGGGATATGGTCCTGCAGCCACGTCTCAGTGAAACACATAACACTGCACTGCCGATACTCTGGCTGAGTCCTTGAAAGGGCTTGGAGTTCATCCATCTTGTTGGCCAGTGATCTCACATTGCCCATTATGATCGATGGAAGAGATGGTTTGAATTTCCTCTTTCGCTGTCTCCGTTTTGCTCCCGCTCTGCATCCACACTTCTTGCGTTTTAGCTCATTTGGGATTTGTGGCTTCAGTTGAGGTATTATTTAAGCCTTTCCAATGTTAATCAGCTGCTCCTGATTGTAAACCAGTTTATTGCCATGGTTACACATCATAAAAAATGCTCAAAAAGTGAAAAAATAGCTGTAAAAATCCTCTAAGCTTCACAGCACCAGAAACAGAAAAGTAAAAGGTCCAAAAAAATACAGTTTTTCTTAAGACGCTAGAAGAAAAAATGTCCAAAAAAGGCTAAACTTACATGTAGTTAACAGAGCTACTTCAACATGCAGCCACCCAGAGCAGTGCGAGAATGGAATGGATTAATGAATTATAAAACCCTCAATGACATTTTCACAATGAAAAATTCTCTTTTATTGGTGTCAAGAGCTGATAAAGTTTAAGCCATTTTTAAATCTTAAAAAAAAAAAAAAAAATTTTGGTATAAAATCCAAATACTGTTTCTTTAAACTTTCATTTCAGGATGACGAGCTGGAGGCACACACCGGTTTCGTTACTTCACCAAACAGCAGCCACCCTCAACCTGCCTTTGACCATCCACCGGAGGAGCTGACAAACCAGCAGTCCCCTTCCAAACAGTCCATTAAGTAAGGAGCGGTCTAACGAACTCCGCCTGAACACAGTTACTCCTGCTCTTCTGTGCCACGTTTGCACCGTCAAGCCTGTCCTGGACGACTCTTGTAGTGTGATCACCATTCTGACCTCTGTGACCTGATCCTGTTAGCTGCCAGGCTGACAAAACTTCCTAAAGCACAAAACTAACAATACATCCAGGAATCGTGTTTGTATTCTGTCAGGGAAGCTTTAACTTCTCATATTGAGAAAGGTGAGACGATGTCTTAAAGCTTTATGTGAATAACACTCCATTTAAGACGACTTTCATAATTAAACCTGCAATTTCTCAGAACCTATAACCACATTTATAGAAAGGACCAGATGATCTCCTGCTTGTTCTGTGGCTTAAGCCAAAGATTTAGATCAGTGTGAGCGCACACACACACACACACACACACACACACACACACACACACACACACCTCTGAGGAATCTGTTACAGTCTAAAAGGATGATCATTTTAAGTGAGTGTATGACAATACACAAGTTTAGTAAATCAGTCTAAACTGTAAACACAAGTCTCAATGATCTCACAAAATAATGCTACTGTTATTTCCTACACTATTATACTAAAAATCTTCCAATGAAATTATTTAAAATTTGGAAAAATGACACCCGATTATTTGCATGAGCAGATTTCATTGGGGAAAAAGTAATGGCTGATCATTTTGTTAACTGGCATTTGGTGTGTGTGTGTGTGTGTGTGTGTGTGTGTGTGTGTGTGTCTCCGCGTTTGTTTGTGTTTGTTTAATAAGTACTGTTTCATGTTGGTAGCAAACAAATTTTAATAATGAATGTCATTAATTTTCCTGTACCTAACACAGAGGGAGCCACACCAAGATCTCTAAAAAACGTTCTGAAAGCAAATATTACAACTTGCGTTTAATCTGTTAAGCACTCCGGCAACACACACAGATGCACGCACACAAAAATAAATATATATATAAATAAACATACAGAGACAAACACAGGCAGGCAGTGACAGTTTTGCATAAAATTTAGCACCAGCAGAACAAATGAAAAATAATTTTAGCAACTCGTACATCTTTACAGCAGAGTCAGCTGAGTTTATTAGAAATACATTTTGATCAGTCATATTCTCAAAGTTGTTGCCTTAATGCAGTCCAAAGAGACCAAGCCAGATACGTAAAAAGGAGCACAATTTATTTTCGTGACATTCCTGAAGTAAACGAATAAGCGCAGTCGTCACCAAACACGCTTACCAAACAACACAAACGTATTAATAAGAGCACAGGAACAAGTCAGGGATTCATTTCTTGAAGCTTTAAGCACAATTTAGTTGTACTTTGTGTGCCCGTATGTGTCAATTTCCTTATTGTCAGTACAAAGTTAGGCTGTGCAGCAGAATGGGGCAATGTGACTTCAGTGGTCTCATAAAGCACAGAATAATGTTATTTACTTTTCATTTTATTGTCTAAAGTGGATTTATTTATGTAAACTGAGCATTTCAACTGAGTGCAGTCTTGCGTTTATAGGTCAAAATGCACACAAATATGATTTAGATGATTAAATGGACAAATCATGTTTCAAACGTTCGTGAAAAATCACAGAGTACTGCTAAACTAAAATCACTCGGTCTGTCGGTCTTAAATCCAAACTTTAACATTTCTACTTCAATGACTTTATTTTCCGGCCTCTTGATTTGGTGCCACGTAACTCATTGTGTTTGTGGCGTCGTTCATCCTGGTGCTACAGCGCCTGCAGCCTTAACGTGTGCAGACAGAAAGCGAGAAGCTGTGATAAACACACCAGTGTGGTGTTGGTGAGACGATGTCTGGACACAGAACGTGTGAGCAAACTGGGGATGGGAAAATATTGTTGCCTGTTTTACAAATGAGAAGATGGTGTTTGCTTATGTGTGTGTGTTTTCCTTTTTTCTTTTCTCTAAAGCCGGGGACAAGAAATCGATATCATCTGGCAGGATGAATGTTTCACTACATTATTAAATGGGTCATGGTAATGATTCAAGTGCTGATGTAATGTATGGAACTGTGCCACAAATTGAATACATCAAAGTCTTAGATGACCTGTGTGGAAAAGCAACTATTCATGCACCTGTTCTTGACTATGCTGTATAAAATGTTCACTATTATGCCTCTAATGTCATTTTATCTTCACAGTTTTTGATCAATTGTTACTAGTAAACCACTGTTGGTTCTCGTAATCTGTCTCCATCAGTCTGGCTTTTGTCCTTGGTAGAATTGCTATTTTTTAGAGACCTAGCTGAACATTAGTACTACGGAATGCTAAAACGATGATTACTATATAATTAGTCATGTGTACTGCAACAGCATTGAGAAATAGAGATAACATGTTGTGTGTAGCTGTTTTCAGTTATATGAGTAAACTACTCTTGTAAAAACAAATTACAGGCATAGCATTCCTTGACAGCTTGCCCATTGTAGCATGGGCACATCTACATACTAGGATTTAACACTGTTCGGTTAGATCCTGAGAAAAGATCGGACACATTAGCATATGAACTTATATTATGCATAAATATCTAGGATATTAATACAATCGATAGAAGTTCATACACTAACTGTCTTGGTCTATATTTTAATCCAAAGATTAATTTTTAATTTAAGATTATTAAATTTTACAGCAAAAGTTTATTAAACAGAAGACTTAATGGATTCTTTGCTGATTCAGTAACCAAATATACACCATTCTGTGTTTCATTTCAAAGGAGAGTCAAGTTTAAAAAGTTAAGAATTTATTACTAACACTTTTAAAGATGACAATTTGAAAATGACAATTTGTAACAGCTTGATATTAAAACTTGTTATTAAAAGCTTTACCTGTGTCTGAATGAAAAGCTAAAATGAAATGCGAGGTTTGGATGCGTGGATGATATCTCAGAAGATTTCTTTCAGAGAGAGAAACGTGTTCTGGGTGAAAAATATTGTTTTGCAGCTAACTTATGGTTTTTCAGAGAGAGAGCAGCATCAGACGCCATCTGTCAGGAAGTGCCTACCTCACCCAGTTCAGGAGACCCTCTGTGGATCTGAGATGTCAGGTGGAGATGGTTTACTCCGAGCACGAGGTTGGTAGAAGGACCTTAGTGTGACTCAAATCGGTCCTGAGATGTCTCCGGGTCACGACTGATGAAAGTATTTGCGTCTCAAAATCAATAACTCTGAAGGAGTTTTTGCGTCAGCTGGTTACAGGTGCGTTTATTTGGACCAATTCTATCGGCATGACAACGCTTAGTGAGGATTCGTCCATCTGGAGGCAGGTAACCTGAAAAAAAAAAACCCAAAGGATATCACATTTGTTAAAAATTCATCCCACAAACGAGAGAATTTGTAACGGTCCACCAGTTAGTGGAAAAGAATCCGGTCAGAATAGAGTTGTTCCGTAAGCGTTTTGAATCTGGTATTGCGGACCCACAGAGACACGAGTTTGGACGTATCTGTGGGAGCAGGCTCATAAGCGATTTGGTAATCAAACTGTTTGTATCTTGTGTTACGAACCCACAGGGAAACTTGCTTGAATTTACCTGAGGGTTCCGTCCGGAACTGGAGCGAAGCTGATGGTTTAGCTGTTAGATCAGAACCTGATTTTACCTGCTCAAAGTTGGGTGGCAGCTTTACGGAGGCGACTTTGTTGTGATCAGAAATAGTAGTGAACTGGAAATGCGAAAATGATGCTCGCAAAGCAGGAGGAGGCTCCCCACCCCCCTTTTGTTTCTCAAACTTATGCCGTGTCTGTGAGACAGGAGAAGCATAACAAACAGTTCTTAAGCTCTTAAAAGCCCTATTACCAAGAAGATGCACATTGTCACCCGAATCGTGCTGAAAGAGTAGGCGTTCAGATGTCCAAAGACCTGGAGGTGTTGGACTTGGAGGTTCTGAAAAGTAGTGATCCAAGGATGGTTGTGTCACGGGTGTCAAAGCAAACCTAGCCATGTTTAGAATCAGATACAGACATGACGCTAGCTTTAGGAACATGTTCTGTCCTGAAAACTGAAGCCAAGAATACTTTATTCCCAAGAATGATGGAGGTTCCCACACAGAATCAGAAAAACCCGGTTCAACCAGAGTAGTTACAGACTGACTAGAACTCCGCCCCGTAGAAGGTGCAGCACCTAACTCCGGGTCGGAGGTCAAAGTTGTCAGCTGAATTGGTGGAAGGTCAGTGTCGATTTCTGCAATGACCCGCCCGCTCGGAGGAGGCGTTCCCCCGAATTGGTTGAAGTCCGCAATGGAAAACTCAGTGCCACTCGGCACCCCCCTTTTGTCAGGAGGGGCCCCGAGCAGAGCATCACTGCACGCACCTACACCTCCCGGGCCGGGTGGCCTTCCCGAGCCTGTGAGAGAGGTGTGCGCAGCAACCACCGAGCCACCTTCAACATCGCCACTGACTACTTGACTACTGGAACCCGCAGGGTTTTCTGCGTCGTCGTGGTCACCTATAAGAGAAATCACAGGAAAGAGAGCACAGAGGCCAGAGACTAAGTCACACCCCTGTGAAAGGAGAAAAGAATTGGCCACCGTATTAGCAGAGGTCACAAACTGAAAAGTGACAAGGTCATTCACATAAAGGTCAAGATGTCCGGGCACAAACCCCTTAAATGGCATGGTAGCTCCGTCCGGAGACCACAAGTGTTTCACGGCGGCTGACGTTTCCATCACGCCCCGATAAAGAAGCTGGCTTGTGCATGAGGCGGACTGACGAGTAAAGCAGACCTCTGACTGAAGCGGTGGACCACAGCCTGAAGATTTCACACCCATGCTGGAGAGATGGTCAGCCTCTAACATGGATGACAGAGAAGAAGCATCAGGAACCAAAGGGTTAAGCACAACCTGTTTGTCAGAGAGGTCAACCATAGGCTCAAGAGATTTATTCAGCTTAAAAGTAGCAGAGAAAGTGTTGTTTATTTCAAACCTTGATATCGATGGTGGGTTTTTGACCCCCTGGAAGAAATAAAAGTAAAGAAAAAGCGTTATGACTGTAAACAGCATGTTGCATGAATTCACGTCATGAATTGCAGACCAGAACCACCTCCGACCCAGTGCAGCTGGCACCGAACCGCAGCCACTAGTCCCCACTGCGCCCGACCGGCGGCACCCGCCTAAAACGGGCCCGTTCGGGCGGCGGAGGGACCAGCGTGGCTCGGCCGGTAACCAGACTCCTGCGTCATGGCATGTTCTGGAAGCAGAACGTCAGAGAACCTTACATCAGGTGTAACAGTGCAAGAAAGATTTTGTCGTGTCTCGTCCATCTCCCATTAAGTTCAGAGCAACTCGCGTTCTTACCTTCTGAGTCGACGTAAAACTCCGGGCAGATTCCTTAATTTGTCTCACACAAACAAGGACTGTCCGTAGCTTACTTAACTTGATGACACAGGGTAAAACAAGGAGCTGTTGATAGAGAAATGAATACACACAACTTCACAAGATGGAAGAAAAAGGCATGGATCCGAGCAACAGGGCTGCGAAAGCCGACCCGTTCACCGGTCCAAAATAAAAACTAAAAAATAATAAACCTTACGCTGCCGTGTTGGTATCAGACGGACAAACGTAGCAAACTGTAGATTCTACACACCGTAGTGAATTACAAGAATCACCGCCGATGCGGGTTTTGTGAGGACACAGACTGACTGTGTCAGAAATGGTTTGACAATTTAACGGGACGCTTTCCCTTTTTGTCCAACTGTGGCGCGCTAGCTTAGCTCTCCGGCTAGGCCTAGCGTTCTTCGTCTGTAGCGACCAGACTTAAATTTTCCCGATTAACAAGCAGGCATCTCGCTCCGCTTGTAAAAACGGCCTTTTAAAGCGTACGCAATCTGAATGCAGTAACGTGTGACGGCCATGCTTCGCCTTACGACGTTTACCGAGCGATCCAAGCTACGGTAGGTGTCATAGATTCGGCTGTGATCAGTCGCCAATGCAATGGAAATATTTTCCACAATAGCTCGTCCACAGTGTCAACACACTGAGACGAAAGGTGTCCGAGAATTTTGTTTCGGTTCGGAGAATTTAGTTTTAACGTTAGGACTGAGGATAAGCTGCTCACGGTAGCTCACCCAGCAAGCTCAGAGCGGAAATGTCGCTTTCCGACCTGAAGAGGTTAGAGACGCGGCGGCGCGTCAAAATGGACAGAATTTAGTCAAAAGCACAACTCACACGTTCGCTCCGACGGCGAAGATGGGATAAATCAAAGTTAGGTCTGTAATTTGCGGTCAATTTGAGATCGGAGATCTTCCCCGTCAAGTTTCCACCAGGACGTCTCCCGGAAGAGTGACTTCAGCGGAATAAATTCTGGTGTTTTTCAAAATAAGACATCAAAGTGAAACAGAGAAAAGCGCTGTTTGTAGCTTTTAGATGTTAGAAATCAGATAAATCGCAGATATAGAAGTCTGGATACGCTCGCCATTAATGTAGCGTTGTGGTTGTATGCTCTTTTATGAAAGAGGAACCATGCTACGTATTAATTCGGAATATTAATTTTTAATATTCAATAACCAAATTTTATATTGTTCAGAAGACTCAAAGGTTGTTTTCATCGATAAACTGCCGATAATATCTGAGTGTCTGTGTTTCAGTTCAATGAGGAAACCAGTTTGAAGGATTACAAGTTTTAATTCTTCAAATTAAACTAATGATTTTGAAAATTGACAAACAGGAAATAACAATCACATTGGCAACTTTGTGGGACAATCTTTTAACAGTTTATATGCTGTTCTTGCTCAAATAGACCTTCTGGTGAATTTATGAAGATTGAGAATGTTGTGAGCTGTGAGAGTGATATGAGGAGAGATGGATGCGTGTGTGCATCTGATTTTGCTTCAGGAAGAAACAGGTGTCTGAGTGAAAAGTGATGGTTTGAATAAACTTAGGTTTAGTTGGAAAAGATGCATCCAAACGCTAAACACCGTGTTCTGTCTCACCGAATTCTTGTGGACCCTCTTTCGGATCCGGGCCGTGGAGGATGTTGTAATTCATCCAGATGACACCGGCGGCTGACAGGAGACGTAGGTGTCGAACGGAACCGGTCCAGAGTTGCCCTCGGTACACGTTGATGGTAAAGCGTTTTGTCGACGCGCTTTCTTAAGTTAATTCACTCAGAAATCAAAAGACTCGGTAATGAGTCTGCGTTAGAAGTTGCGATTCAGCTATTCTGCCTGGCTTGGCAGAAACAGCGTGAAAGGGGGGAAGA